ATAACAATAAAATGTATCAATGAATTCAACACCTTTGCTGTCACTAAAACAAAGTATGAAAATTCAATTAGAAATTTCACATACCATTTTCAAGTCTGATTTAATTCCATCATTGATGAGAGGGGTGATGTTGCTAAAAATTGATAAAAGTTGATCGATACTATGAAGTATGTGATGAAAAATGAAGTTCGACCAATTTTTAGCAAATAAAAACTTTACCAAAATAAGCACTGAACATGAAACTATTTCATTCAAAAAATATGGTTTTCCAAAATAAGTCATACTCAGCGTACAACTTTGTTTGCATAATGACACGTGACATTATATTATTAGACAGTTTTAACAAAAATGTTATTTTTGTAGCCAACTTTATTCCAGCACACTACGTTCTCAACAAAATTGTCCTCGATGATTGTACAAATAATAAAATTCTTTCAAAATTTAGAATATCCAACATATAACAATTCACGCTTGTACTACATGTATATAATGTTTATATAATGGTTTAAATTCACATAATGTTATAAGATATGATTGTGTCAGAATTTTTTCAACCAAATAAAAAAATGACACCTCATTTGTATCTAATTTATATTTTAGTCCATCATTCTCTTATGAGAAAAGTTTGAAAATCTTGGGAAAAAAAATTACCTTAAAAAAGAAAAAAAAAATTAAAATTCTCATTCAAATGACAATCCTAAACGGTGGGTCCCGGTAGTGTGGGTTACCACGATAAATCGGGGGTTAATTAGATGCGTACTAGTTTTTTTGGGCGTGTGATTATTTACTGTTTGAAAATGAATAAAAAAAATTAAAATTACTAAATTTTATGAGATTTATTGCATGCACCCGTCTGTCCCCATTGTTTCACGTTATAATAAGAGAAATAGTAACTATTTGAATATTATACATGGTTTTAATAAAAAAAAATTTTTTTTTTTAATTTATGTGTAATATTATTTATTGAAAAATATGTGGTTGATAACAAGAGAAAAATAAATAAATTATACTTTAATAGGGAATAATGAGACCAAACGATGGCAAGTTGGCAACAATGGTAACGACATTGGCTGAATGATGGGTTTATGGCCTTTTCAGCTAAGATAAGTTCTCAACAAGAAGATGAGAAAATAAAATGTGGAAATTACAAAAAATCAGTATTTTCATGATTCAATTTCAAATTTCAGATATTATACTTTTTATTTCAAATCTCAGATATTAATATATCTATTTCATTTACCCAAACCATAATTATTTCATCTTTCCCATTTTTTCTCCTCTCTCTATCCCCGTCGCCCCATTTTCTCTCTCTCTCTCTCTCTCTCTCTCTCCACCACACAGCTGGTACCACCCTCAATCTATTTCGTCGGCCAGAAGGAGTGCGAATCGACTCGAGTTTGCAGCGGTATTTACGAAGCAGATCCACCCACTCACTCCGACGAGTCTTCACAGGCGAAGCACCGTGACGTTGACCAGATCCGCAGTGTAGAGCCGTGCGCGGTGGTCGCTCAGCCGTACGAGATCTGATGGCGTTGCGTTTTTCTTTTCTTTTCTTTTCTTTTTACTTGATCTCCCTTTGCCTAAACATCACAATCTCGTGCTTATGTTTTTTTCCGGTTTGATTGTACTTGTGTTTTTTCAATGGTTTATTTTTATGATTTCATTTTTAGCTATGAAGACGATGGTGGTGGCAGGTGGCTTTCTGGGGGTGGTGGGAGAACGGGAAAGAAGAAGATGAGTTTTTTTTCTCTTTTGATTTTTAAATTTAATTTATTTGAGATTCATCTGTACTTTTTTGAAAAAATTGATAGTATATTTGCAATTTTTTATTTATTTATTTTTATTTAAATAGGATGATATATTTGTCATTTTATAATTTTTAATTGAGAAATTGAATAAAAATTAATGAAAATGATGTTTTCTATAATAAAACATGAAAATATATTTGAAAATGTAAAAAATTGAAAGAGAAATTAGGCAGATTGCCCTAAAAAAATATCATCTTTGATTAATACCCATCAAACTAAAATAAAATTATATTACCATATTAATTACTTGCCAAACCTGTATTTAAAACTCAAATCAAAAGAGGAAACCCCTGAATCAGAAAAGACCTTCCAAATCCAATATTGAAATCCATTGAATCCAATATCATCTCTCAGAGATCCCAAATCGGCAAATCTAAACTTGAAGACTAACACCACAGAATCTGGGACTTGAATTCTCT